GCATGTTGTTGTAATTACACAATAAACATAACTACTAAGCGACAGTGGTGCTGGTGGCAAAGGGGCTAGTTGGCCTCCTCGTCCAATCCAATCATATCTAAGTTCATGGCCACTGGGTCGAACTCTCCACCAAAAAGAAGCTGCAACGTCTACTCGATGGAGTCAGACAGCGGTGCCCTGAAGGTAGCCTTGTACTTGCGCACCGTCTCGGAGCCGACATTGGGCGATGGTGCCACCATTCCCGGTTTCTGCATGAGAACACAATGAGCTCTTGGTGCGATCGCCTCATGCGCTTAAGCGACAATGCGATCATCATACCAAGAAGGACGTAACAAGGGCCGGCGTTCGAGGCCTGCGCAACCTCGGCGGCCCACGAATGAGGGGCGTCTACAAAGGGAGGCAAAGGCGCTCCTCCAAACTCTCCTGAATCGACATCGTGGCCGTTGCGTGAGGCACTCCGCCATCAACAGCCGGCATGGTTGAACCACCTTCGTCCTCCCGTGGTGGCGTGACTTGCGGCATCTCCAGCTCAGGCGACAATGGGTGCGACTCCGTCGTTAGGGAGGCGACACGGGCAGCGATGGGGCACCAAGCGTTGTTGTTGGTCCCATTGGTTTGCTCATGACGAGCGAGGCGGTGAGCTCCTCCAGCATCGGGTCAACCCACGCGGGAGACCCCGCACCCGCGCAGGGCTCCAAGACCAGCGGGTCCGGCTGGGGAAAACAGGAAGCAGCAGCGGCAGAGGCTTCGCCCGGCGCCATCGGAGCGGCCCGTGCCGACCTGCCGAGACGCCTAGGTGCATAAAATTTACATGATGGCTTGCAGCATGGCTAACTTGTGACAAAATATGGTGGTATGTGGCGTGGCTTATGTATAATTACGACGTTTTATCTACCGTACTAAAGCACTATCTTTTTCTATGCTAAGTTCACCCAAAAAACCTCCCCGCTAAAATGGTCCACCTCCACGCTCCCCATAAAGTGTACCTATAAATATAACCCCTACAAATGAACCATCCTTCTCCCTATTTTCTCTCTTTACTCGCTCAGATCTGACGGTCAGGATCGCATGTATGGTACTCCTCAGCCACCTACCTGCCGTCATCCGCGCGTCTTTATCCGCACGCAAGGCAACACATCCGTGCGACATCCGCAATTGGTACCGCCTCGACCACACCACGTCCGGTGTCACCATCTCCGGCGACCGGCGTTCCTTTCCTCCTCCGTGCCGCCTCCGAACTGGCGCTTCAAATCTGCAGTTTCCCATCGCCCCGCAGCGACCGCCGCCTTCGTCCCTCGCGCGCGTGGAGCATCGGACCTGCAGATCGTGTGGTGGCGTCACCGCCTCGAGCCTCGCCTCTCCCGATCGTGGCCGTCTCCGGTCCCCATGACCCCACGATCGCGCCTCCGTCCCCGTCTCCTCGGCCCCGCGACGGCGGCGGTGTTCCGTCCGTCTCCACGATCTACTCCTTGCTCGGAGAAGATGCACGAACGCCGGCGCCGAGGACTTCATCGTGAAGCCCTCCGAGCAAGGGACGTGCAGCGCCTCGAATCGCTCCCACCGCGGCGACGAGGCCCGGCAGAAGGGCGCCGTCGGTGCGAGGCCGTCGTGGGTAACAAGCCCCGTGCCAGGCCCGTCTCATAGGGAGGGGCGGTAGTGCGACGGTCGGGGCCCATGGCCCTAGGGGCCCATGAGCATACCCATCTATAGTATATCTATTCAGGTTTCATACGGTCCATTTGATTATCCACGCAACTAGTCCGCTTGGCGGCTTCCGTATTCACGCGTGACTTCCTTGCCACCAGACGCGGTGACGGCGTCTTCTTTGTGCCAGCTAGCTTCTTGCGGCCGCTCAGCATTCCCGAGCTGGCGTTCCCGTCGATCAATCCCCAATCCGTCATCCGTGAGAGATGGATCGTGTCTGGAGTTCCCGTTCGGTCGTTCCTTGATCTTGACGCAGCAGATGATGCTTGGACCGAAGATGGTAACTTGGTAAGTAATTTCAGCCGATTAGGGCTGGTATTGCACTAACAAGATCTCCATCCTCTAGCCTCCTGTCCCCGATCACTTTTTTTTCAATTCGTCGTTCAAGCACTAGGCACTCCGCCGTGACTGACTGACTCGTGACTCGTGGCCAAGACCTAGCAAGATAAGTGATTGCATTTGACAATTTGCGCTTCTAGTTCGATTATCGATCGTGGGATCTAATTTCTAAATTCTAATTGAAATATATTTTTTGTAAATGATAGATGCCGCCAAAAAACATTTGTCCAGTTATGAGAAAAGGAAAAAAGAAAACTAGAAGAGCAATCGAAGAAATTGCAAAAGGGTTGCTATACATAAGTTTTTTTCAAGTTCAAGAAATGCCGAGTCATTCAAGATCGAGGCGAGAACATGATCAACCAATAATTGCACAAGATTCCAATGAAGGTGCTCTTGAGGAGGAAAATTTGCGACCTTCTGATGATCTGAGAAAATGTAAACATGGATGAACAAGAAGATTCACTGTTGACTATCTTTGATCCTAGAACATGGGAAAATATTGATAATAGCAAAAGGGATATCTTAATTGAGAAAGGGCCTATGAGAGAAATGGATTTAGAATTCCCTAGTGATCCTAGTAATAGGCATTTTCATATGCTTATTACTCTAGAAAGCTAACTAATGGTGAAGTTGTTGACGTGAAGTGGTCTTTACTCTAAACATGTGGACAAGGTCTATTGTTTTTGTCTTTTAAGTTGTTCAAATCAAATCGTAACAAGTCTAATTTTGCATCCGAAGGAGTGAGGGATTGGAGGCACTTGAGTGTGAAACTAAAAAAACATGAGAAACAAGTGGAGCATTTGACAAACATGAATACATGGAATGATCTTCGATTAGATTAAGCAAAAATCAAACAATTGATGATGAAATGCAACGGAAATTGCAAAAGAGAAGGAGCGTTGAAGACAAGTCTTGGTAAGAATAGTTTCAACTGTGAAGTTTCTTGCTAAACAAAATCTAGCCTTTTCGAGGATCAAATGCAAAACTTTATCAACCAAATAATGGTAATTTCAGGCCACGGTAGAAATGATTGCTTTGAATTTGATCCTGTGATGCAAGAACATATTAGGCGCATTCATAATAGTGAGATTTATCATCATTATCTTGGTCCTAGTATTCAGAATGAGTTAATTGCTATTCTTGCTGATGCTGTGAAAATACATATCTTAAAGATTATAAAAGATTTCAAGTATTTCTCTGTTATCTTGGATTGTGCCCCAGATGTGAGCCATGAAGAACAAATGACACTAATTGTGCGTTGTGTTAATATGTCAAGTGCCATTCCAAGAGTAGAGGAATTTTTCTAGAGTTCTTAAAGGTTGATGACACATCGAGATTGGGGCTTTTTAATGTATTGTTGGATGCATTGCGGACTCTTGATTTGAACATTGATGATGTAAGAGGTCAAGGGTATGACAATGGTTCCAATATGAAGGAAAACATCAAGGTGTGCGGAACGCGTGCTTGAAATTAATCCAAGAGCATTGTATATGCCATGTGCATGTCCACCTCGACTTACTCTTTGTGATATGGCAAAATCTTGCAGAAAAGCTATTTCGTTTTTTGGTGTCATACAACGGATATATGCATTGTTTTCACGTTCTACTAAAAGGTGGAAAATTTTGACCGATAATGTTGAGAGGTTCAACCAAGCCCTTATCGATACTCGTTGGGAGAGTCGAATAAAGAGTGTGCAACCTATCGGGTATCAAGCCCTCAAATAAGATCAGCTCTCAGTGGAGGTGGAAAGAACATCTTCCGATGACCCAAAAGCGTGGTGATGCTCAATCATTGGTAACAACACTTGAGAATTTTGAATTTTTAGTTGGTATGGTTATTTGGGATGATATTTTATCTACTATCAACATGGTGAGCAAAAAGTTGCAGTCTCCGATTGTGTCCTTGGATGGTACTCTTAAATGCAGATTGAAGGGGTCATAACATATTTCCGGGACTACGAGAGATCTGAGCTTCATTGTAGCATTGAGACTGCAAAAAATCCATTGCATCTAGTATGGATGTAGAGCCAACATTTCCTACAAAACGTCAAGGTAAAAAAAAAAGCATTTTGATGAACAAAATGATGAAACCAAGAATTACAACGTTCAAATATAGATTCCTTCAAAGAAGAGTACTTCCTAGTTATTGTTGATCATGCAATTGTTTCATTGACTAGTCGATTTGATCAGCTAAAAAATTTGAAGAAATATTTGGTTTCTTGTTCAACTCGGAAAATCCGTCCTTGGATGCTCTTGATCTCTGAAAGTGTTGCACCACTTTTGTAAACAAATTTCTCATGACAATAAGTCCGATGTTGAGTTAGATGATTTTTCTCCTTGAAAGTGCTTGCAAGTTACTTTGCCGAGATAAATTAATGTCAAAGACTTGAGATTCTTCACTTTGTTAAAGATTTAGATTGCTATCTAAATGTCTCTATTGCATATCGGATTCTCTTAACTGCCCTGTGATGATCCCGAAAGAAGCTTCTCTAAATTGAAGCTATTGAAAAATTGTTTGAGATCAACTATGCTACAAGAAAAATTAAATGGCTTGGCTATGTGCAGCATTGAGAAGGATATTTTGGATAAAATTGATCTCGATATTGTTATTGAAGATTTTGCATCAAGAAATGCCCGAAGGAGGTTTTTTAAAAAGCACTAAAACACTACATTTGAGGTAACCATAATAGTTATCTTACAGCTCTTTTAGCTTCTTCGATACGATGTAATGTCATTTTTTATTGAACTAAATATATGCTGCAAGTTATCTCTTATTAGTAGTACTATGTATTTGAATCGTTATATTAAACATTAGATTGCCGGGCCCTCTGTGCCTCGTTTGCACGAGGACCCTCAAAATTATTGAGACGGCCCTGCCTGGTGCTGCCGCCCTCCAGCGGCGTCACCGCCGGCGCCACGTCGCCGTCGGGATGGCGAGCGAACCTCACCGAAGTCGCCATGGTACGTACGTCGCGCCGGCTGCCACTCCTCGCCCTCGGACGGGAAGGTTAATTTTTTTCCTCATTTCTCTGATCGCGTTTTGTCTCTGTTGCTTCTCTGCCAGGTGCTGCAGTCGTCGAGCTTGGAGCTCTCACAGTACCTGCCGGTCCTACTCAAGCTCGTCGTGCTGGTGTATGCCGTGCTGTGCCTGGGCGAGCTCCTGCACAGATGGTCATCGGGCGGCCGCTGCTCGCTCTCCCTGTGGTGCCCGCCTGAGCAGCAAGCAGCAAAGCCAGGAGCATCGCTGCAGTGCAGTGCAGTACTGGGCGCCAACAGGAGGCTGATGATGCAAAATCAGAGTTCTTCTGCTGCTGCACCAAGCAAAGCACTGCTATTTTCAGGCTCCACGAAGCAGGTGTATTTGCTTTTTGTTTGCTCAACCTCTGTTGTTCAATGATGCGATTTTGATTTTTGAGCGCCTTTTTGCGTGAAAGATTTATTTGTTTTTTTTCACATGGTGGATTTAGGGACTGCATGGATGGCGAGTCGCTGCTCAACCAGAAGGTGCTGGAGATGATTCTTTAGAAGCTGCAAAGTGCATGTTTCATATCCTTTATGCAAATGCAAGATGGGATTTGTTGCCTGTTGATGACCCCAAAAAAATAAGACTTGGATTGATGGACTTATTATCATAAAAACATAACCTTTTCTTGACTCAAAAGTGCTAAATTAACCTGCTTCTAGAGCATGTTTAGGGAAAATTTGTTATATTTTCATCATTTCAAAAAGCTAAGATTTTTAAGTATTCAAAAAAGATCGAAGCATTAGCTAGCTTCAGTGGTATGTTCTGTTATATTGATTCATTTTGTTTTCCATTATCATGCTAAATTGATTTTCCTATTCTTCAGGAAATATAAATCTATGAAGGCTACTCTTCAGTAAGAAATGAGGATATGAAAACATGGTAGCTTTATATACTCAACGTTATCATGTGAATGAATCTGTAAGCATGCACTTATAATCTGCAGTACAAAACCAAATGTTACAAGAATGATTTGGTAACATTGAAACAAAGATAAGCATGCACTTTATTAATGAATTTGTAAGTTTATTGAACCCAAATATGAAGAAAGGTTTTGATTTGCTCCATATTTGGGAATGGAAGGAGGTTTCAGAATTTGTGCAAGCTAATCACAGCAGTTGCTTGGTGATTAGTGTAGGAGAGCAGCCAATTCGACTGAAGTGATGTACTGATATTTTTTTAGTGTAGGGCACCTCACTTTCAACAGAGTTATAATGCTTATTATTTTGTTAGCTGAATTATTATGCTTCTTGTTGATTTGTGTTTCTAAATAGCACCGTAGCGTTAACACGGGCAATATACTAGTTGAAAGGTGAGTTTACCATCCAAGTCATTTGTGGCAGGAATGCCTAGTGGTATTATTTGCCTCCAGGTGGAACAAGGTTAGCTGATATGATCATTATGCAAATGCTTACTGATTAGGATGGCAATCGTACCTCGAGTATCGTACCTGCTGGGTGAGACATGAGCATAACATTTCACCGATGAGTGTGAATACGGGTATGAATATGAAATTCTACTCACGGATATGGGTCCGCATATATCGCTTCACCGTTAGTGCTAAAAATATAGGAGCACCAAGTTAAAACGCCATAAGCTGACGGCCAATGATCAAAACGGCACAAGCTAATCGCCCAATTCAAAAGGCGCAAGCGATTCGCCCCCGTTTGGTTTTACTTCACGCTCTCATCTGCCGCTGGTCCCTGTTACTAAATGGTGTTCATTGCAACTATTTATGTCTCCTGGAGTGTAAGGAGGTGACAGGCCTACCTGACAGAGGAGGACGAGGCCGTGCCGTTGCGTCGTGGTGGTAATGTGAGTAGGAGTACAGTATCTCCGTCGCCTGCTACTGTCCCGTGTACTGTACATAGCCGTTGGAGAGGGATTGTCCAAAGCATTGCACAGCCAAAATATACTCCTACCACACAGCAGCAATACCCATCTTTGAGCAGGGAGGGAAGAGGCACATTTCCACTCCCTGATCCGGCCCAAGCAGCGCCATCATTTCCGCCCTGCACCCAATCAACACGACTCGTTTGAACGCAGGCGCGGGCTGCCTGCACTTGACAGCTCACCACCACGCACGCACATGAATGCGGAGCAGAGGCAGATGCGTCCACTGCACTGACTGGCTGGCTGGCCGGCCGCCTGCTACACGACAAACCAAAGCACACTGGAGTGGAGTGACCGAGTGAGAGCGTGTATTAGTCAAACCAACACGGCTACCAGAGTACCAGTTCACAGCAGCCGGCAGTGATCAGCAGCCTGTTCGCTCGCTCTCATAAGCTATGGCTTATCCTAAAGGAATAATATTTTTTTCTACAGCCAACGATACTATTTCAGATATGGCTTATAAGCCAATCTAGACCAAACGATCAAGGGTAGAGCGCAGGCATATACTGTAGGAGTACTACTACTGTACTTAAACATCAACCTTGTCACAACAACGTCGTCATCAGACATGCAGCGCTAGAGCAGATCGGAACGAACCCTCAAATCAACATCACGAACATCATCATCATCCACTAATTTTAATTTAATCTAATTGCACACATCCACATTAGCAGCTTAATAATTAATCGACCAACACAGCACTCAGAGCTCTCCCTAGTTTAGATTACAACAGATCCATCCAGCACATACGACCCAACACACATGGTGACCTCAACTGAACACAGCAGCACATCAAATCCTCCGAATTACTCCATTAATTAATTGAGCGACGAACGACGACGACGACAATTAGATGAAACAAGGAACCAAGTCTACCAACATTAACACAGCAGCAGCGGGACGACGAATTGCTACGCCCTAACCAACCAACCAGTCCTCACGGCGGGACGCCCTAACAAGAAGCGGCGGCGGCGTCAAGCCGCGGCCGTCTCGCTGGGCACGGCGGGGCGTACCTTGGGGGGCCTGCCGCGGCCGCGCTTGACGGGGGTGGAGCCGTCGCCGGCGGGGGCGGGAGTTGGTGCGGGTGCCGGTTTGGGAGCCGGGGACGCGCCGTCCTCGGTGGTCTTGGCCTTCTTGGGCGGGCGGCCGCGGGCCTTGGGCATCCCCGCGGTGGCCTGCTTCACGGCGGCCTCCAGCGGGTTCTTGGCCTTGGGCGGGCGCCCGCGGCCGCGCCCCGTCCCCGCGGACGGCGCCGGCGACTTGGGCTTGGGCGGCGGCGCCGGCGCGTTCGGGTCCCGCGCCTTGGGCGGGCGCCCGCGCCCGCGCTTCTGCGGCGCGTCGGGGGCGTCGGCGCGGAAGTAGTTGTTTTTGACGAAGATGAGCTCGCCGGACTCCTTCATGCGCGCCAGGTGCGCGGTCAGCAGCGACGCGTGCGCGGGGGGGAGCTCGCCGTACTTGCCCTCGATGTACTTGGAGATGGCCGACTTGTTCGACCCGTTCTTGTCGCCGAGGCCCTCGATCGCCGCGAGGATCATCTGCAGCAGGAACAGGCGCAACAAACACGCCACACCGCCCGTTGTTAGCTCACTCCATTTTTGCATCGCAACACCACCACAACCAAAAAAAAGGAACTTTCTTTTTTTTTATTTTTGGTCCAACAAACAGAAACGAAAGAAACCACAAAGAAACACGCATCGAGCGCGGCAGCGTCCCGAATCGAGCTGCATCCAAGCACAAGAACGAATCCCAGGCAAGCACAGCACCGGAACAAGAGAGAAAAAAAAAGAAACAGAAAAGAAACAGCGCAGGAAGAAGCGGACGCCGGTCGGACAGAGGGGTCTCCTCTCACCTCGGGGTAGGGCGGGATCGGGGACGGCTTGGCGGCTTCCTCGGTGGCCATGGCGACGACGACGCAGGGCGCGGCGACGGGGGCGAGCAAGACGAGCCCTCCTTGCCCAGATGCGGTGCGGAATGACTTATTTTCCTCGGAGGAGGATATATGAAGCGGGTACTCGTAGGAAGGATTTGGATCCAGGATATAGATAAGAAACGGGGAGGAGGAGCCTCTCCTCGCCTCGCTCCGTTTCTTTACTATTTTTCGGTTGTCTGCAGGGGAGTGGGTGTGCGAGGAGAGTGAGCAGATGGGGACGCGGGGCGAACGGACGGCCTGGATCTCTCGGGCCGGCAGGATCGGGCGGCGCGGGAGCGGCGAGCACGCGGATCGGTGACGTGGCGGGGGAGGGGGGTGGCCTCCGCCTGCGCGCGCCCGTCAGCCCCGCTTTAGTTTTTGTTTGCTTTTGTCCGGGCCTGCGCTGGCTTTTAGACTGAGAGACGGAAATGACCGGGATGGCCTCCGGTTTGGCCCTCTCTTTTTTCTTACAAACCAAATGGTTTTCTTTTAAAAAAAATTGCAGTGGTCACCTCAGAATTTGTAGGGTCTATTCTCTCTAAACAAAATAACTGCATATCTCGCTTTCTGATGTATGAAATTTTTAAAATTTAACTAACTTTATATAAAACAGTATCATCACTTGTATCTTCAAATAATATTGTTATATAAAAATATATGTCATAATTAATTTAATTAAATTTAGTATACATTATATATATTAATATTTTTATGTATTTTTAATCTATTTAAAAGATTTAACTCCTTAAAAAAAGAGTGGTACAGTTACGGCATGTTTGGATGGTGGCCGTGCTACGCCACACCGCGCCGCACTTTGGGCAGCCGTTTGCTTCGCTGCCGCAACACGTGCTCCTCCGGTTCATTTTCACGCCCACAGTTGCCAACAGTGTGGCCAAGATATTAAATGTAGTATACATTATATATATATATATTAATATTTTTATTTATCTATTTAAAATATTTAGCCCTTAAAAAAAAGAGTGGTACAGTTTCACGTGTTTGGATGGTGGCCACGCTACGCCACACCGCGCCGCAGACACCGCGCCGCACTTTGGGCGGCCGTTTGCTTCGCTGCCGCAACGCGTGCTCCTCCGGTTCATTTTCACGCCCACAGTTGCCAAAAGTGTGACGGCGGATTTCTTCACCTCACTTCCAGCGCAGCCACAGCATTGGCGCAGCGTCTTGAGGCACCGTCCAAATGCGCGCTTATTTTGGCACAGACGAAATAAGTGGCTCTTGAGTCTTAGTTTCAGGTCTTGTTTAGTTCCTCCTCCTAAAGCTTAGTTCCTATCCTATCGGATGTTTGACACATGTATGGAGTACTAAATATAGACTAAAAAATAACTAATTGCACAGATTGTGACTAATTTGCGAGACGAATTTTTTAAGCCTAATTATTATATGATTTGATAATGTGGTGCTATAGTAAACATGAGCTAACGATGGATTAGTTAGGCTTAATAAATTCGTCTTGCGGAGTACCGAGAACTTCTATAATTTGTTTTATTATTACTATCCGAATTCTTACGTGACACCCCGATGTAATACCTGATGTGACACCCTAAACTTTAATCTCTGGATTTAAACAAGGCCTCAACTAAGTGGATACTATTACGAAACTATCACAAGTTGTGAAAGGGCAAATTAGCTATGAAAGGTGGGTACGGCACGGCATTCGGCATAGTGAATCGCAAAAAAAATTCTATCTCATGGCACTGACTTATTTTATAGATGCGCCACTCTAACTTTGCTTGAACCTTTTTGCCTAAAAATTAAAGTTGTATATTCTAACAGATTATGATTTTTTTCCCATTGAGAATAATCACTTGTTATTAGCAGTGTAAAAAATGATCGTTTCAAACAAGAGGAATCACCTGTCACCGCATTTAAAATGATGATGAAATATAATAAATAGGATAAAGAAAATGGAGACAACTCATGTATATGATAAATACAAAGACTAATATGTGCAGGTTGATCAAAACCAAAAGCAAACTTCATTTGCAACGTTAGAATCAACAAAAACCTTGGTATTTGTGCTTTCTTTAAGACACTTTCATCAAAGGCAATCTTTATACTGCATACTAATTGGATTTCAAACAAGTTTGGGATACTTTTATTTCACAAGTTATCATAACCTTTCTCTATTAGCAAAGTGCAAAAAATGGTTCAAACAAGACAAATCATAGGTAACCCCATTAAGATTTCAATTTAAGTGGTGAAAATTATTAAAAACAATCGAAAGAAAATGAACACAACTCATGTCTTTCGGGATCCTGTCTTCACAAAGAGTTTCTACAAACCTAAACAACTCATGTTGATAGTTTAAAACATACTAAAAGAATTACTCCCTCTGAATTCTCATTTTTTGAGAAGTCAAATAGTTTAAACTTTGACTAAAATTATATAAAAATGTGCTAACATTTATAATATAAAATAAATATCATTAGATTAGTTATAGAATATATTTTCATAATAAATTTATTTATAGACATAAATGCTAATACTATTTACTATAAACTTGATCTAAGTTGGGCTAGTTTGACTGACACGGATCCTATAATTGCAATCTTTTGCGGATGGAGGGAGTAGGTTATAGTGTTAGACAAGACAAAAACATTGGTAGGTTTACCTTGTTTGTGACTCACCTACCATGTCAGTTTCTTTTTACGAAGGTGACCTTCATTTGGGTTTTTAACGCATATGGTTGTTGAAAATTGGTGGCATTGACCTAGATTTGGATATCGAGTGGGAGAGACCTTCATTTTTTAGTTGAGACTTAGTGATAACAATGAAGACCTCTCTAGTTAGTGGGATTGGACGGTGTAAGAGGGGAAACACACGGATTACCTACCTACCTACATACGCTCGCAACATCCCACTTTAATTTTTGGTTTGTTTTGTGCTAGGTTTGTGGTAGTAAAAGAATCTAGCAAGTGGCCTAGAGTGGGGTGAATAGGTCTTTTCTGAAATTTAATCAACTTATGAAAACAGTCAGAACGCGGAACCTCTGGGTTTGAGCGCGGAGGTTCCGAGACTGAGCATGGAACCTCCAGGGATCAGAGTATGAAATCGATCTACTACGGAATTTAACAAATGAAAAATAGATCGAATGTAATACCAGCCTTTCTGGGGAGTATGTTGACCTATCCAAACAGTCGGTTGCACCTAGAAGATGAGGAATTCGTAGATCGGATGCAAACCCTAAAAATCAATCCAAATCACAAGTAATAGCAACAACTACAACAATCACAGTGAACACAAGGATTTATCCCGTGGTTCAACTCGCCACAAAGGCTTGTTTACATCCACGTTGTTGAGGTTAGCCACAAAGGCTATGGAGTCTCTTTCAACTCGCTCCTCTTCTCCAACCTATCACCAAGGCAATGGGTCAGAGGGTTCCACTAAGTCACAAAGGGTAATACAAACTTCCCGGTGCTCAACCATAGCGGATTGGGAGCTACCAGGCGACCGCTAGCCGTCTAGGAGCCAAGCTCCAAGAGTAACGAACACACCAAGCGATTAGGGCTCCACCAAGTGCACAAGAACGGAGGAGAAGGATCTTCTCGAGCTTTCTCACACTCTCTAGAGCCAAATCCCTCAAGGAATCATAAAGATTTGAGCAAGGGAGTTGGGAGCACCAAGCTTGGGTGAGAGAGAGTGCTTTAGTTCGTGTCTGAGTGAATGAGAAAGAAGATGACCGTTGGGGGCAAAGGGGTATGGTATAAATACCACCCACGTCACCCACAAAATGGTCTGGTCAGATAGACCTTGGAGCCTCCGTGTTTGAGCGCAGAGGTTCTGCGACTAAGCGTGGAGGTTCCACGTAGGCTAGAGCAGATAAGAATTTAGTTCAGCTTGCTTTTTGTGGCTAGGATTATTTGAGTTGAATATGGAGTTTTGAGCACTTGGTTCCACCCAGCACACCATTAGTATCCCCCTTGATAGTACGGCTTGTCCTATGACTTAATTTCAAAATATAAAATGAGTTAACATAGCTCTTCGAGCCGTTGCAAGCCATCGATTCAAGTTTGGGAATCTCCTCCTTTGTTTCTTTGCATCCACGATTAAAGATATTCTGTCAAACACTTGTCAAAGCCATTAGTCCTTTAATTATGTGGTCAACATCACCAAAACCCACTTAGAGCTTGATTGCACTTACAATCTCCCCCTTTTTGGTAAATGTTGACAACACAATTAAAGCTTACATTTAATTGAAAGATTGAGCTTTTGATAGCAAGAATACAAGGGCTCCCCCTTAATATATGCAAGATTTGTTTGGAATTATAAAAATGTCCCTCAAGACATACTCTGCATATATTAAGAGCAAGTGTGAAAGATACATTGTATTCATGCCATCGTGGGGTGCAAAAGAAGTGTGTCAAATAATAATCTATGATGCGTATGACAGTTTATGCACAAAAGAAAATATCCTGGGTCTGCAGACCGCGGAGCCTCCAGGCCAAAGCGTGGAGCCTCCGCATTCTGCACACTTAGAATCTTCTAATCAGAACAGAAAGCATCACATATATATGAATAGACATCACACAGTTATGGAATGCTAGTAACTTATGAATATAAAGAAGTTTTACCACAGTTCTAGCATTTCATTTCACATAAAAATTCACATATCCATGTCCATGACCACCAATCGCCACACAAAGGTGAATCAAAGTATTATTATAGACCACTAAGATAGAAAAGAGAGTTCAAAAAAAACCTCAACTCTCACAACTCACAATGTCCACTACTACTACTACTACTGCCACCATGACGAAAAGACGACGACAAGACAACGATGACACAAAAGAAACATCTCAATCTTGCCTCTCCCCCCTTTGTCAACATATGGCAAAAAAGGGAAAGAACAAGAGAGGTAAAGCACGGTCGTCTCACTGCTCCCTACTCCAGTCACTACCATTGTCACTGTCATCATCATCTACCGAGTCGGTCTGCTGCCTGCTACCTGAAATAGTCCTCTCACCGCACTC